ATAGACGGTCAACAAATTGCATTTCGTAACCTCCTAAACTTAAATTAGTCAATATCGGATGCCAATTTCCTAGCTAACGGACGGCTATGCTAAGCTTGCCGTGTAAACTAAGTTAATGTATACGTGGAGAAAATCCATTCGCTCTCTGTATCACCGTTCTTTGCGTAACAAACCCGGCTTCCATAATTCCTATAAAAAACCGCTCCCATTCCCTCCTCCTCTCATAATCGCTTCAATACAGGTCTTCTTCTCTCTCACAAATATCTCTCGACCGTCCGATCAATCAAAGCTAGAAAAAGATGCAGATCTTCGTGAAAACTCTGACCGGAAAGACAATTACTCTCGAAGTCGAGAGCAGCGATACCATCGACAACGTCAAGGCCAAGATTCAAGACAAGGAAGGGATCCCACCGGATCAACAACGTTTGATCTTTGCTGGGAAACAGCTCGAAGATGGCCGGACTTTGGCCGATTACAATATTCAGAAGGAGAGCACCCTCCATCTTGTGCTCAGGCTTCGCGGTGGTATGCAGATTTTTGTTAAGACGTTGACGGGAAAAACCATTACTCTCGAGGTTGAGAGCAGCGATACCATTGACAACGTTAAGGCGAAGATCCAGGACAAGGAGGGAATCCCACCGGATCAGCAAAGGCTGATCTTTGCCGGGAAACAACTCGAAGACGGCCGGACTCTGGCTGATTACAATATCCAGAAGGAGTCTACGCTTCACCTTGTGCTAAGGCTCCGTGGTGGGATGCAGATTTTTGTTAAAACCTTGACCGGGAAGACTATTACTCTCGAGGTGGAGAGCAGCGACACTATTGATAATGTCAAGGCTAAAATTCAAGATAAGGAAGGGATCCCACCGGATCAGCAGAGATTGATCTTTGCTGGGAAACAGCTGGAAGATGGCCGGACTCTGGCCGATTATAATATTCAAAAGGAGTCTACGCTCCATCTTGTGCTCAGGTTGCGTGGAGGGATGCAAATTTTTGTGAAGACATTGACGGGCAAGACGATTACTCTGGAGGTGGAGAGTAGTGATACCATCGACAATGTCAAGGCAAAAATTCAGGACAAGGAGGGCATCCCACCGGATCAGCAAAGGCTGATCTTTGCTGGGAAGCAATTGGAAGATGGAAGGACTTTGGCTGATTACAACATTCAGAAAGAGTCTACTCTTCACCTTGTCTTGCGTCTCCGTGGTGGCTTCTAAGTGTCTCTGGTTCTTTTTAATGGTTTCTGAAAATGTCCTATGTGATTGGCCATCTGAGGTCTTATGAATCTGTTGAAGTTTTCCTATGATTTAATAAAAGTTTTAGTAATTTCTGGTTCATATTGATTTCTATTCATGTTTCTATGGCGATTCTTATCTTTTGTGAATCTAATGTTACCAAAATCCAAAATTCAGTGTTGGAATTTTAGCAAAAAGTTCAATTGGTGATAAAAATAATTCTTACTTTGCATACCTGTTTTTCCCTTGGAACTCCTAACCGTCCAAGACACCACACGGAGCCCTGCAATTAGAATTTGTTGCCAGCTATATCTTTACTTAGTTTTGGGGATCATCCTCTGAATCCTCTTTGCCTAACTTGAATTAGGTAGGTTGGACTTTGTGTGTGGTAATGAGGAAGAGAAATCTCTCCAACATAGACAGAGCTGTGGCCTCATTTTTGTTCTGCCACTTGTCTCAAGATCAGGTACGTCTTTCTCAAATTAAAGTCTTTTACTTCCAATGATTCTTAGGTTCATTTGGGCTATAATGTTTTCATCTTACACTTTTAACATCTCTGTTTCTTTATGTTGATTGATGTAAAAAGTTCATCATCTTTATTGTTTTAGGATCTTATGTCTGATTTTTTTTTTCTGTGGTCTATCACTTGGTTGTGGGAATTGTATGGACTACTGATAGAAACAGTCAATGAGGAATTTCGTTGCCCTGGACATTGAAATTTCAATCCCTGGAATACCGTTTGCATGGTAGGCATTCATGCAAGGAATTGCTAAATGCTTGGCCAAGGTACAAAAATAACTTGTAGATTGTGAGCCAGTGTCGGCTTTGAAAGAAATCTATTGATAAGGAGGTTTATCATTTAAAAGGAGTTTCTGCACGCAGTATTGAAAAAATTTCCATATAAAACTAGACAAGAAAAATAATTTTTTTCCCAAAAAAAGATTCATTGTTCCAGATATGGGGCTCAAAATTTGCAGAAAATGCAAAACATTGTTTTCTGCCGACAGAAATCGATGTGTGCTATTTCTATTGAAATCCAAACTCAAGTGGATTCTGTGTTATCTTAGCCTTGAGTTCCACTTAGAAAGTATGATTACAGTATCAGTAATTACTAGAACAGCTCGAAGGGCACAGCGCTCGCATCTAGTGAAGTTGGAGATGGTTACACCTCTTTGCCAAATGCCAATGGAAGTTCCTTCTTGTTATCGTTTGAAATGCACATTGTCATCATGCGAACTCTAGTCCTGCATATAACGGAGTAGCCATTCTCTAGATCTTACTGTTTAAATTTATTTATCACTTGGGTAAAAATATTGGTGAATTCTTGTTTTTGGCAAGGGCTAACTTGAGTATTTCTTTTACTTAATTGCAGGTGGGAGTGTTTCCTTTTATTTAAAAGCATAGGGCATCCTGGCTACTACTTCCCTTCACTTGGTGCCAACCAAGGTTACGTCTGAACTCGACATCCCAGATTCCATGTCCTCTTTTTATGCCCTCCTTTATTTGTCCTGGTGCATGCAAATGTATGCCATGCTCTTAAATTCAATCCATGCACAACAAATTCCTTGTCCTTTTGGTATGCCCACCTTTACTTATCATTCATTTGTCCTGGCGCATGCACATGTATATGCTCTTATATATATTTTTTTAATATACATGCATAATTACTATTTACTACTGCAATTGTTATGATCAGATTGGACAGCAACAGTTACTTTAGCCATAGCAACATAGATAATTTGATATCAGGATATGATCAAATGAGCATGTGGTATATCCTCTGAAATCAATCTGATGGCTGATGCCCATATGATTGTCTAATGCGTGTTTCACTGAAATCTATTAGCTGAAGCAAACGATAAGGATTCAGGTTGGGTGGCGCACTGATTATGTGCATGCTTGCCTCCACCAGAAGAACCCAACAACCTTCAGGGTTTTAAGAAAAAACTAAGCTATGATAAGATTCTCGAAGACCTTAACAGAGTTTTGTAGCAATTGTGTCATGGTCCAGGATCCAGTGCCGGAGCTCTTTTGTTGCTGCAATGTCTGTTAAATCACAATCTTTCTTTTCTTGTTGCATTTTTGGGTTTCAGGAGGAAAAGGGAAGATGATTCATGGCTTCTGAGCAACGGCAGCAGCAAGTCGATCTCATGTGGTTGTAGCAACAGAACTCCTTGACCTTGCCGTTCCCCATGCATCGTATATTCCTGTTAACCTCATACTATCAATTAGTATGGATTTGTTGCTAATCTTCATGTTCAACTGTTCATTCATAACAGTCTTTTGATGATTGGTTATTTGTGGCTTAGCTTGGATCATCGATCCTTGCAATGTGAAGATGGGATCGGCATTAAACATTAGAAATTTCTTTTTCGCAACTAGCAAGCAAGATAGATGCTTTTGCCGTTGATGGCCACTAACGAACTTTCAAGGTTGTCATAATCAACGCCAACAGTGTCAGAGACCTTTGGTTGTTCCATGATCTGTCATCTGATAGTGTCCAGCCAAATGAGTCAGCTGGCTTCATCATCTTCTCTTCATTGAGAATCGAAAGTACTCTCTCTCTCTCTCTCTCTCAAACCATTTATGGAAAAAAAAATCTTTCCGCAATTTTTGTGGCTACGTTTTCGTTTTGTTGATTGATCTCATGTTATGTAGGAGTCAGATTTGTCAGATTTCAGGAGGATTGTAGGCTAACTTTTACTGCCTTCCTTTCCCAGTATTTATTTACTGCTATCAGTCAGACTAATCTGATGATTAGATTTATGCTAGATTTGTGATTTAACAATAAATATAATATAATAGCGATAGCTGAGTTTTTAATGGATATAAATAAAGTATTTTTTTAATAAATAGATAAGAGATTGAATTAATGGATCAAGAATCTGATCTATTGCCATCGTAAACCTAACTTAAAAAGTCTTACTGCTATTGACATTTTACCACACACCAATATGTATTGAAATATTAATTTATTCGTTTATTAAAAAAAAAAAAAAAGCTAAATCAAATCATTTTTCATCTTTCAGTTCGGTTCGATTTTTGAAAATTTTAGTTCAATTTAAATCAAAAATCGATTTTTTAAATATTTTTTCTGATTTTTTAATTTTTAAAATAATATAAATAAACAAAAAAAAATCAATACCTTAACATTATTACGATGGATTGATGGTGTTTTTTTTTTAATATCTATTTATATTATTTTAAAATTTAAAAAAAATTAGGATTTTTTTTTAAACGAGTTTAAACAACCAAAACCAAAAACTAAAATTTCAGTTTATAAACTGAAAGGCAAAATAGTAATTTGATTTTTATTTTTATAAGTTCGGGTAACTGAAACTAACCGAAAAACTAACCTCTATTTATTAGCTAGTAATTTAAGTAATTACAAGAAAGTATAAAAGTGGTCCATTTCTTTTATTCTCCCAGTGATGAAGCCTAGAAGTTTCTGCATGAGACAATGATATGCTAATTGGGGGGAAAAAAAATCAATAATGATGTGAAGCAGACGTAAGATCTCTTGGCCAAAATGTAAGATAGAGACCCTCCATGTTTATAAATCACAACTACCAGTCTTCGCATCTTGAGCACCATCCATTCCCTTTTTTTCTCTCTCTCTCTCTCTCTCTCTCTCTGAAAAACTGAGCCACCCTTTGCTATTAATACGAAAGTGGTGAAATGCATTTAATATTGTCCAAAAGCTTTACCTCTATTGGCTCTTCACTAAATTCCTGTTGGTAGCTTTGTGATCTCTGCTTTTCCCCTATGGCTGACTCTGAACATTCTTCTTCTGATGAAACTTCTGTGGATTTTAAAGGTATTATACGGTTTCACACCCACATTTATGGTCTTTTATCCTTACTTGCTTGTTTTTACATGGTATTTGTCCCTTCTAAGCTTGTTAGCTTTTGCAGTATGGATGAAATGTTTGTTCTCCAGAAGGGTGTTTCTTTATTTGGTAAATACCATATTCGGGTTTATTGATTTGGGGGTGTTTTTTTTTTCAGAGGAAACAAGTAAGGAATCGGAGCTTGAATTCTCTGAGGATGAGGAGACACTTATAATTAGGATGTTTAATATAGTTGGAGAGAGGTTTATTTGTTTTGTCCTTCTGTTTTTTCTATTTTAATAACTTTGTTAGCCTTCAAAATATTTAACCTCAAGTTGTAATAATTTTGACAACCAGGTGGTCTCTAATTGCTGGGAGGATTCCTGGAAGAACAGCTGAGGAAATAGAGGAGTACTGGAACACTAGGTATTCTACAAGTGAATGAAGCTGTAAAAAGCATGAAGTTCTGCTAAATTTGCCTCGACTAGAGCAAGTTCTGCTTCTGTCATTCGGAAGCAGAAGATGATGGGTTTAGTTGGGTCTAAATGTTCTGGAGCTGTGCTGTGTTCATGGACGTGCGGGGTTTGATTGGTGGAGTTGTTGCAATCATTTATTTTCTGCTTTCCTATAATTAGGGTAGTGTTGCTTGTGAATATCCCCATTTTTCAACGTATTTCTGCTTCTTTCTTGAACTGTTTATTTGTTTTTCATGTGTACCAGTAAGTTTTGATGTACCATATATTGTCACAAGAAATGGCTTGATTCATTGGCCATTTCCTGTGTCCATGTCATTGTTAGCAAAGACTTTGTGCATCCTCTGTTCTTATCTAAAAAATCTCCTATTATGAGTTTTTTCTATTATTACTGATATATCTTTCCAAGAAAACAGAATATAATTGAAAGAACAAAAAAATTGACACAGGGCAGTTGCCATTTAATACGTTTTCATGAAGGTTAAACCAGTTTGAATCAACCACCATGTCATTTTGTCGTGAAAAATATGCCACAGAAAGAAACTGGTCAGTAAACCTTAATTTGGATCATTCACTGCCTTTTCATGGTGATGCTGGTAGGAATTGATTGGTTAAGTCTGATAGAGATCGAACAAACGAATATTACCATGGAAAATACAAAAAATCCAGAACCGGAAACCCAAAGAGGAGGAAAAGATCTGAGAGTGTCTAGATCACAGCAAATCAATTAACATAAAGGCTTCGAAAATTTCTACCATTTGAGTGAACACAAAACTGCTGAGAAACTGAATGGCCCCATTTCTTGTGTCAAAACACCACTAGAATCAAGCACTCTTGGACAAGGTTTAACATAAGAAGCTCCCTCCATCCATTTATTTCGCTTCTCTATTAATCACAGATAGTATTACTATTGCATTAACAATCATAACTCTGGCTCATTGCAGACCACCGGCTGACGGATGATAACAAAATAGTAACTGGACACAAAACTCAGAATAGCAAATACACAATAAGAATCACAAGTGTCTACTGCAAGTTTTGTGTACAGTTACCCATTTTTTATCATCTGTCAGCCAGTGGTCTTAAATGAGTGTCTACTGGAGGGTGTATCAAAAAAGAAAATGCACATCTGAAATTATATACCATGCTTATATGACACAATGAAATCCATCCTACAGTTGAAATAACATAAAAGGAGTTATGTATCACGTTTCGTTGATCAGCACGAAAGAAACCAATCAAGCTTTATATTACGTGACTGTCAGTGATTTTTACAGCTCCAATTACATATATGCGAGCTTGATAATTGAGACAAATAAGCTGAGAAGCAGTCACGAGTTTATCAGTCATAACAGTCAGACTGAAAGTACAGTGGTGCTATCTGGGTTGTGTTATACATTGCTTTGTTTGTAAAGCTTGGTGTCAAGCACTTGCTTCCCGCACATAGCACAAACTCCTGAGAGATTAAGGGCAACATTTGCAAAAAAATTATTAATATATTCACTCAGCACATCTGAATCAGAACACAGATCAGAACACCAATAACAGTACCTTTGGAATACGCACAGGTGTGACAGTACTTGCCATCTTGGTGTACTTGCTGCTTGCAAATAATGCACTTGGTATTTCCATAAGGAGTCCATCTGCAAGAAATAGAATTCTAAAAGAGTTAAATAAAATCACATCACCAGAATTACAAACGTGGAAATCCATTACAACTGTGAAACACCAAGAGGGTCACCAAACTATCATGCCAGAAGAAAAAAAGAACAGCCAAAAGTGCAATATAAGAACATGAGGTAAACTAAAAGAACAGACAAACTTCCATTCAACCCAGACTGCAAAAGTTAATACAGGGATCAGCAACCTCAACAACTACTTTAACTATAATACACCCATCCTGATTCCAGAACTCTAATTTCCAAATCACCCACCGGCTACTTTTGCTACTTATGATCTGCATGTCCTTTACTTGGCAAAACATAACACAAAATTTCTAACAGATACATTAAGTTAGGACACAAACATCCCCAAATAACTTCAAGCTTCTTAGCGAAGCCAACAAACACATTTATAAACACAAATACTAGCCTTTCTTTTTTCGAAAATTCTAGCATATTATCACTAACGTAGCAAAAGAACTCAGATACTCTCTACTAAAAAGAAGCTTCAACCGCAAAAGGGATTCAAATCTCACAAGTCTAAACTCCTATCCCACATGTCTAAAACTCTTCTAACTCCCCGGTTTATCTGCACATCCTTCCTTTAACCTGAAACTAGTTGACAAACTCTTTTCCCATAAACATATAATCCAAACAAATAACACTGCGATTAAACCTAAGCGATTAAAACATACTCTACCAAAACTATCATAACACATCAACACCCATAAATCCCAAAACATGAACAGCGAGTTGGGCAATAAGCAAGAACCTAGATATTCAACCTTATCGCAATTCATTCATATGCTAAAAAATACCATAAAAATCACACTATCACACAGCATTACCAAATGTTAAATCACACTATATGGTCACTACTGAAGAATCCCAAAGCGAAAACTCACACCGGATTGGGAAAAAAAATTATTTTTCTCATTCAACGTTCAATATCACATCCAGAAACTAGCAAAAAATGTTTAAAAAAAAAAACGAAAAACCCAAAATTTAAAAAGAAAAAAGAGAACCTTTTTTTCTTAGAGAGGAGTTTATTCTCGTTGATTTTCCGGCCACCGCCTTCGTTGGTGTTACTGGCTCCTTCCTTCCACTTATCAGGAACAATCACCTTAGTTAGCTTCTTTTCACCTAAAAAAAAGTCAAAATGAAAAATTAAATCTCAAAAACCGAAACAAAGTTAGAGTAATTATTCACGGATTTAGTAAATTGGGATTGGGGGATTGAGATACTTACACTTTTCGCACACCATTGCTGTTGTTTCTCCTCTGATTGGGGATTTTTGCCCTAAATTGAGATTTCCTGGAGAAGAGAGAGATGGGAGAGACAAGTCGTTATTTTTTATAAAGAAGAGTTTGGGATTGGACGGTTGAATTGACTAAAGTGTCCTTAGTGTGAAAGGGAACTTCTAGTTTCAACGGGTTTTCTTCGTCCGAATTTACTAAATATTTCCAATTTTTTTTTTCAATTCAGATGCATTCTTTTGTCGGTTTCTTTTTGAGAAAATGGCTCCACATGTCTTTATATTTTTCAAGCTGTATTCGATCTATTTTTATATGTCTAATTATATTCAAGTTATCTTTAAAAACTTTTTTTTTTTTTCTTTTATCGATCGTTGATTTATATTTTTTCCGTCAAAACTAACAGAAATGCACTACATCACTTGTACATGACCGATTTAGATTTTATATGTCAAAAATATGAAATATCCCTCGTTGAGAGATAAAGAGTAATAGAAAAAGATTTAGAATTCTAATTAAAGTTTCATAAACTGAGATTTAATATTTGGTTTGATAAGTTGCACGTATAAGCCATTCCACAAGTGGCAAGTTTTGAATATATATTCAATGTTTTGTATCTATTTTTAAATTTTTAATTGTATTTTTTGTGTTTCTGAAAAATTTTGAAATATTCAATTTATTTTTTTAATCAATTTTTTTTTCAATTATGGATAATTTTTTTTTATTGAAATGCCTTTTAATAAAAACAAAAACCTTAAAATCACATGACTAATATATATATATATATATAGTCATGGGTATTTCCATAAAAAAAAATTATATAGTCGAAAAAATTGATCGAAAGAATAGATATATTTGAAACACTTTAAAAAATAAATAAAATTCAACTAAAAAATTATGGATGGATGAAAGATTTTGAGTATTATATAAAAATATATAAATATATTAACTCAAAAAAATCTATCACTTCTTTTAAAAAAAAATAACAAAAAGTATTTTGGTCATATAAAATGTAATAAACTTAATCATGGACAAATCACCTCATACACTTTTGTTAATTTTGACGTTAAAAACCTGGATTGTACAACTTTTTTTAAAATAGATTTTATGCAATTATAACATATATGCTTTGTAAAAATAACAAAGAGTATTTCGATCATATATACTTTTGTTTAATATATCCTTATATATATAAGGATACATTAAACACAACCCTTACATACATAAGAACATGTGGAGCCATTTGCCTCTTTTTTAATAGTTTAACTCTAATGTGTATATTTATGCACTAAAAATGGCGTCCATTTTAAGAAATTTTGCTAGAAAAGGTAATTGACTTTCACATTTTTGATCATATATATATATGCACTAGAATGGCATCAATATGAATAAAATTTTATAAAAAATATTGACGAAAACATTAATAAAAAAAAAACTTGTTTAATTGTTTTTTGAAATATTTGCGATCAAATTGATAAAAGTTATAGGTTTGGAATTCAATTGAGAATATATACAAACTTGGGACTAAATTAAGATTTTCCTTAAACTTTTGTTTTCAAACCAATTTTCATTTCATATGTGATATTCGACTATATGAAAATTAAAAGTGCTTCTCTATTTTTTGTAGGTAAACACTTGATCACAAGATGATTTTTACTATGGGTACATATTGCAAAAAATACAATAACGTTCACTCTCGAATAGAAAGGCTACAATAAAAGTAACCAGATGAACACAGCAGCAAATGGAGAAAAATTTATCCAAAAAAGAAAGGAAAAAAAAACAGTAGAAAAAACTATTGCCAAACCAAAGCCAGTTTTTGGCTATGAACAAGAAAAAAGAAAGCCACACCAAAGAGACTATGATGCATAGGAATTTTCATATTTGGGCATCAGGATTAGCCAAGAAGTAAGCCTCAACAGCCTTGAACAAGCCTGCAGTCTTTTTGCCATAGACATCTTTGATTTGATCTTTGTTGATCTCAGCATCGCCCTTGATGTAATATGTACTGGTTCTCTTGCAGATGGATCCTCCCTCAGGAGTTGGCACAAACTTGTGCTCATATGTCACCTTTTCAACTGCATCCTTCCAAACATTGGCTTCGATCAGGCTGAAGCTGTAGGTGAAGTTCTCTTCGTCAATGGCTTCAATCTTTTGCTTTGCATAACTGAGTTCTTTGCCTGCAAGTGAAAAATTAATTTGTTACTTCTTTGTTCAATACATATCTAGTAAGTGATATGTTGAATCAAAATACTTATGTTAATTCCAAGTAATTATAATAAATAACATAAATACTAGCCTTCAGCAAAAGTGATCTTTCTAATGGTTCCTGGCCCTCCATTTCCTTCGATTATCTCAGAACTCTTGATGTGTTCTGGCAGAATTTTAGGCATAAGAGTGTCAGTATCAAGACAGTATGCTTTGAAAAGTTTGGCTGGGGAAACAGCAACGGCGAACTCATTTTCTAAAGTGATGACACCCATTATAACTGGGGATTTTGAAAGATCACTAGAGATTGATAAAAGAGGAGAGAATTTGTTGATTTGTAGGATGTTTTTGTGGTGCTGAAATAAGAGAAGTAGAGGCAGTATTTATAGGATGAATTTGAAGGATATCTCGTCTGAGAGGATGACATACATGGATCAAAGAAGTTCATATCCTGTTAATGGTCAATCTTTGTTTTAAATAATGTAGTCAAATAAAGCACCTCTGAAACTAAATAAACTTAATTGACTATGTACGCTCTTCATCACTTATTCCATACTACAAAAAAGCGAGGGAAAAAAAATCTAGATTTTATCGAATAATCAAATAAAGCCCACTTGAACAGGGTCCCAGTAAAGAAGGCCCACATTAATTACGGAATAAGCAAATAAAGCAGCCATCAGCCTAGAAGGAATAATGCGCTAAAAAAAAAAAAAAAAATCTAGATGGTGTAGTATAATAAGCCTCCCAATTATATAATCATCAACTATATATGAAAAAAATAAATGGTATTCCTTCCTTGAGTATCTGTCGATCCAGTGTCAATTCTTTGACAAAAATTGCCAACAGTCTAAAATAATCATTTCATAGGTGAAGTTCAGATTTCGATTTTTATTATCAATATTTATGAGAATTTATTTTTAAAATACTTGAAATCGTATATTGAAAAATATCTTTTAATTATATTTAGAGAAGAATTAATTTTAAGATGTGTAAAAGTCAGTCATCATAGAATGCAATAAAAAAGGTCCAACCAATGCTGAAATAAATCGCCTATCAATCTAGATGGTATAATTAATAGCTTGACAAAAAATTAAATCTAGGGGGTACAATATAATAAACCTCCCAATTATATAATCATCAACTATATAAAAAAATAAATAGGATTCCTTTTTCCTTCTTTTTTTTTTTTTTTGGGGGGGTAAAAAAAATAATTCTAATATGCATTATTTTTTAGAAAAATTTTCTGGACATGACTGCCGAAGAAGAAGAAGAAGAAAAATGATACATCTCAAATTAGTTCACATTATAACCCAAATCTATTCTCAAAGCATTTGTTCTCTTAATTTAGATTTATACAGTTTTAAAGAATTATCAATTAATATTTTGTCCATAATTTTCACATTTTTTTATTAGCTTGAGAATACCCATCAATTGATCATCATCCATCAATCACCAATATATAATAGAGTAAATTATAAATTAGTGCCTCTAATTTTTTAAAACAAATTAATTACTCTTTTTTTTTTTCAAAAACTAAATATTTGTCATTTTTTTCTATTTTATTTTGTTTTTTCAAATAATAAAAGCTAAATAGAATCATAGAAAGTGAATGCATTTTATTGAGATTTTGCCTTTTTAGTTCAGCGTAGTCCCTGCTTTATTTGTCTTGTTTTTTTTTTAATGGTTTAAATTAGTTCATCTTTATTTAATTAGATTCCTATTTTACGTATATATGATAGATATTTTTTTTAATTTATCATGAATAAATATTACAACTTTTCTATTTACATGCATTATTTCATATATTTATAATTTACATGTGTACAGAAATCATGCAAGCCTAAATTACCTTTAAGAGAATTTGCATTTATATTTTTCTCTTGTTTCATAATAATTTGCATATCAAGCTCCTGTGTTATATACATGAGTGATCTTGTATGAGGATTTTTATTCGAATCTAACATTAAATTGATGAGTCTCTTATTTTTAGAGATTAACATTAATCCGATGAGATTCTGTAATTATTTTTTATGGATTTAGATATGAATTAGTGTATTTTTATTTTTTACCACATAATCATACTATTCGTATTGTACATGCTTTACCTTGTATGTCTTAATATATCATAATTTTTCACATATAATCTTATATTAAAAATTGATTGAATATGATAGTAAATTGACAACACTCCTAAATTTATGGTTCAACCCTAATTAAATGAGAATTTATAATAAATTTTAGCTAATTTATAATGTCCAAAGTTACATCTCCATTTCGTCAAAATGTTTAATTATTGCATTTGGAATCATGTTTATTTTGACTATTTTATTTTATTTTTACAACATTTATGTTGTTGGAAGCATGCTAGCTGAAGAAAGAGGCCGTTCCTTCAAAATTCAATAATGCAAAAAAAAAAAAAAAAAAAAAGAGGCGGGTTAAATTTTATATTTAAGCACAATTTTTCCAATTTATCTTCTTTTTTTCCTCCCTTATCGAAAAAAAAAAAGCCAACCAGAACAGGATTAAAAAAATAATTGGTGTAATATGATAAGCCTCCCAATGATATAATCATCAACAATATAAAAAATAAATGATATTCCTTTTTTTTTTTTTTTTTTTTTGCCTTTTGAGAGGATTAAAAAAGAACTATAAGTTTGTTGACGTCTAAAATAAATATTTGAAATTATAAATGGAATAATGTGCTTGTAAATTTTGGCTAATGAAAAATTGACGGTTGGAAACTGTTATCTCAAAAATAGTCAATTCATACTTTGTTAATTTAGACTTTAAATATTTTAACACA